ATGATATCATGTATGATGTATGTGTGAAGTTTGATTGTGATTGGTCCAGGCATTTCTAAGATACAGGTCTGGACGCACGCACAGACGCACACACGCACGCACACGCACAGACACACGGAGGTCAAAACATAAGTCCCCGTTTTCGGACTTCGTCTGAACGGGGACTAAAAAATCGATAAATTGAAAAAAGTACATGGAAAAGATAACTAAAATATGTATTCAATTACAAATACTCGCGGTAAACTAATCTGGCAGTCATGTTTAATGTTTTTTACCGCTTTCCGAGTTCAGTACACGAACTCCCAGAATGCGCTGTTCCCCTATGCAACTTAGATACTAAATCGTTATAGCGCCAACAGCGGTGGGTGGCCAATGGTCGCTGAATGGGGTAGGCCTAAAGGTCATCACTTTGCTTTCTCCAAGCTGTTTTCACGATGAAAATCGAGCGAACATTGTAAATACAGCTAGAATTTTAATTTTTGTTTGAGTTTACATACAATCTGCTAATATATTTGTTTATTTTCTGCGCATATACATTTTGTTTGTATTTACTTCCTTCTTTTGTGATGGAAGATGATTATTAAAAATACAGCTGTAAATTGAAACCACTGTAGTTGCGTATTGTGAGCAATAAGTGGCAACAATGTCGGGCGACAATGAATTCAGGCGATTGACACATTGCCATGAATACACTTGATAACTGCTTGCAGACTTCCAGTGGTCATTGTTTATGTCCGAACTTTTGAAACATTAGCAAAATAAAAGGTTGGGCAACTACTCTTTTGTTTAGGCTTGAGAAGAACAATGCAAGCTTTTTACAAATAATTTCAACTGGATGTACGTTGGTGGGCGGTTGTTGAGAGTAACTAGGCGGCCGTAAAACATAATGGGTGGGCCACCTAAAACCCCTTGTGGAGAACACTGATAACTCTGTACTATGGTATTGGTGATATATGAATTGGGTGCCATAGGATGGTACTTGATGGCCAACCAACCTAATCAAGTATGTATTTTGCATTGTACGAGTGCAAAATAAGTTATTAGGAAATTAGAAAATTAGGATATTAGTACCAGCTGTTTTATACGCATGCGCATTGGCTGATCCTGTCAAATCTCGTCATCTGTTTTGGGGCGTGTCTGGTCGATGTGAAATTGCTTAAGCCATTGGGTAACGGAATTAACTGGTGTCTGTGTGAAAACTGCTGTAAAGTGGCGGTAAAATGAATTTGCACGTTTTTTGCGCTGCCATTTTCTGAATGATTTGGAGCAGCAATGGAAGCCACCCATTAAATTGATAAAAATCTTGTCCAGAATATAATTTTAAATGGCCGAACTTATAGAGAAATCAGTCTCGTATTGGAAAAGCATGTTTTCGGGGAGGAGGGGTATCGAGGTGGCGTGGCGTGGTGAGTAGATTTCCTCCCCAGGACGCCGAGTTGGGCGTCAGTTCCGAGACGTAGGCGGTGAATATGGTGTCGAGCGACCAACATAGTAAACCAAACTTAGAACTCGCGATACTGGTGCAGACGACTATTGTCAAACAACCATGAAAAATAAATGGCGGGACTTTGGTGTTGCACATTTAGCACAGAAATAAAAGACACGCCCACAGTTGGACAACCAATCATTTTATTATTGGTCTGGATGTACCATGGATCATCTCACATACACGATGTGCCGCCCTCCAATGGCGGGATGAGCGGCTTCCTTTGTGCACAATCAGCGTCAACTTCATGAGAGAAACACAACACACTTGCTAAAGCCAGACCGTTTGGTGGCGTCCTACTATTTCATCAATAACCAAATATACTATTATCCTGTTCCCGAATTGGACATCTGTTTATTTGGAGTAATTTCCAATTCTACGCCAGGTCCTTAGTAATTAATGATTCCACGTATTTATTTGGCCGTTATTTGACAGACGTAAAATGCCATAATGTTAATTCACGGAAATTTAAACACTGATACTGATAATGAAATTTGCCAAAAAATAATAAATTTGCTATCCCATGGAAATAATTGAAATCAAAATATTTTGTAATACTAGTATATTAAGTTTTGCGTCGCATGCACACGATTGAAATATCATATAAAATGGGCCTAATATACTAATGTTGTATTTATTTAATTGTAAGAACGAGTTTACATTCTGGAATGACCATGATGTACTGTGGAATACTTTATTTTCGCTGGAATTAATTTTTGCTGAAAAGGCTTTTTGGGCGTTTT